TTCAAAATGCTCTTTGATTGTATTGTCGAAGGCTTTCATGGCCAGAATCACTTGGTTGTTGTAGGTTTTTTTGGGCTATATGGCCATGGTCTAGAGGCATTCTCTCCTGACGTTTTGCCTGCTCTTTGGCAAGCATCCTCAGAGGTAGTGAAATCCATTGTCCTAATTCCAACACACCTCACTACCTCTGAGGATGCTTGCCATAGATGCAGGCGAAACGTCAGGAGAGAATGCCTCTAGACCATGGCCATATAGCCCGAAAAAACCTACAATAACCCACTGCTCTTTGATTGTAGGAGAACTGTGAATCCCAGTGACTACAACTCCCAAATGTCAAGGTCTATTTCCCCCAAACTCCATCTGTGTTCATATTTGGACGTATTGAGTGCTTGTGCCAAGTTTGGTCCAGATCCATCATTGTTTGAGTCCACAGTGCTCTCTGGATGTAGGTGAACTACAACTCCAACTCAAGGTCAATGCCCACCAAACCCTTCCAGTATTTTCTGCTGGTCATGGGAGTTCTGTGTGCCAAGTTTGGTTCAATTCCATCGTTAATAGAGTTCAGAATGCTCTTTGATTGTAGGTGAACTATAAATCCCAGCAACTATAGTATACAGGGTTAGTCAAAATGAATAGGCCAATAAGAAAATTAATTTTAGACGAATGTATGTTTATTGTAACCAAACTACAGCTACGTAGCGACAGATAAACTATCAAAGTTTTGTCTCACCTTCAGAGATGTTCGATATGGGCGCCCCGTGTGACACGGCAGATGTCCAAGCGATAGTCCAGTTCATTCCACATCCGTTGCAGCACATCCGACGTAATGGCATCGAATGCAGCAACGTCTGGGAAGGTGTTCGTTGAGGTCCTAACCCTAACCCTAACCCTAACCCTAACCCTAACCCTATCCCTAACCCTAACCCTAACCCTAACCCTTGAAATTCTCGCTGGACCGTAATTACTGACATTGTTTTAGCAAATGTCATCACACAAAACGCCTTCTCTTTGCTTGATTCCGCCATTTTGAAAACAGCGACCCCTAGCGACGCCTAGCGGCATTAACGTACATGTGTGTTGCTCAAAAAAAACTTTGATAGTTTATCTGTCGCTACGTAACTGTGGTTTGGTTACAGTAAACATACATTCGTCTAAAATTAATTTTCTTATTGGCCTATTCATTTTGACTAACCCTGTATATCTAAACTGTTGTAAACCGCTCTGAGTCGCCTAAGGGCTGAGAAGAGCGGTATACAAATAAAGTAAATAAATAAATAAATAAACTACAACTCGCAAATGACAAAGTCATAATTTTTTGAGCGATGGTCACTCCTTGTATTGTGAGACGTTTTGTTCCCAAATTTGGTGTGATTTCGTTCATTGGTTCTTTCGTTTTTAAGATACTCATAATGCACAGAGCATTTTTATATATGTAGATATGAAACAATTTAAAAACCTTGAAAGGTGTGTCTTGAGAAAAAACAGGCCTTTGAGTTTTTCTTGTGTATCCATTAAAAAACATGTTGCGGTGGCTCCACCAAAGGGAGCGGCTGTGGCCGGAGATACGAATAATAATAATAATAATAATAATAATAATAATAATAATAATAATAATAATCCCATGCTGCGTAGATTGAGACAATGCAGAGAGTTCGAGTTTTCAATCTGGTCAACAGCAAAAAGCAAGCACGTAAGGTCTTCTTCCATTCCAATCGCTTCCTGTTTGTTTATTTCTTATTATTGCTGGAATTTTCCTCTTTTTTGTTTTATTTGTCGGATTTGCTTCTGATAAAAAAGCCGGATTTCTTGTTTCTTTGATAACTAAAACCGGCGTCTGTGTGGGGTTGTTCTGGAGCCCTGCTACTTGACGCCCTTGTCCTGCTGCTTGGCCTTATTAGCCTTCTTGAGTCCCTATGTGGGGAAAGGCAGGACAGAAATTAAGATAATCAACATAATATAATAATAAATAAATAAACAAACAAACAGCAGGTTTGATAAGCAACTGGAAAAGGTGGCATGAGACGAGGATTTAAAGATCGAACTGCAAAGACTCTGGCACAAGCCAGTCAAGGGGGCAGATCGGCACACTGGGTGCAGTGCCTCAAGACCTTGGCCTACACTTAAAAACAATAGGCACTGACCAAATCACCATCTGTCCGCTGCAAAAGGCCACCCTACTGGGATCTGCACACATTATTTGCCAATACATCACACAGTCCTAGACACTTGGGAAGTGTCCAACATGTGATCCAATACAACAGCCAGCAGAGTGATCTTGTTTGCTGTGTAACAGTCTTGAGTATTAATGGAGCTCCGGGTGGCGCAGTGGGTTAAACTCTCCTGCCGGCAGGATTGCTGACCGACAGGTTGGAGATTCGAATGGGGAGGGCAGAGGAGCTCCCTCTGTCAGCTCCAGCTCCCCATGCGGGGACATGAGAGAAGCCTCCCACAAGGATGGCAAAAAACATCAAGCATCCAGACAATGACCCCTGGGCAACGTCTCACACCAGAAGCAACTTCCCAAGTCACTCCTCACATACACACACACACACACCAGCCAAATATACATACCCTTCCATATGCTATCTATATATGTGTGTGTGTGTGAAATTCCCTCTCTTTGATATACAGGGCCCAAGTTACAAACGAGAGAGGTATGTTAAGTCTGAACCGGTTCCTTTATGAAGTGGCACTCCAGCCAAATCTATATCTATTATTAGCTTTGGATGGCATAGAGGTAGGTGAGCTCCCCTGTGCCTCTGTTCAGAAGGTTCCTCCTGGCTTCCCATCCCTGTGAGAATGTGCCAAGATTGGCTTGTTGTTGACGCAAGGGCTGAGGCGAAGCTCCAGCGGAGACCTGCAGGCCACCAGCGGGAAGGTGTTCTCCTTCCTTCGTGTTGATGTGCTCTAACATAGAATCGTAGCCAATCTCATAGTCCATATCCGTTCCAATTGTCATTACCAGCTCATTACCAGCTAATAGCACTCAGTTAAATGCCTTCTCAAAGAGCCAGGTCTTTAGGCTCTTACGGAAGGCCATAAGGGAAGGCGCCTGTCTGATGTCAACAGGGAGGGTGTTCCACAGCCGGGGGGCCACCACCGAGGGCAAGCCTTTTCCTGCCGCAGCGGGGCCCCGATTCTGCCCCGTGGTGCGTTCCCCCGTTGGCACAGCAACCACGCATCCGTCTGTCTCCATGGAGATGGGAGTTGGGTACCCACGGCCTCTTCCTCCGGTTGTAGTGGCATCCTGATACAGGCTGTCCCTCCCCGAGTTTCAAATGACTCTTAGTTAAGAGCGGTGAGAAAACAGGAAGGAGGAGGAATCCACCCCTTGGAAGCAAGGGAGATCCACTCCAGAAAGAGTAATCCTTCTCAGGGGGGAAAGGGGTCTTCCGGGATTCTTGATCATATATGTGTGTGTGTGTTGCTGGAGCTACATTTCTTTCTTTCTTTCTTTCTTTCTTTCTTTCTTTCTTTAATGTTATTCTTATTCTTATTGGGTTACTGTAATTTTTTTGGGCCGTCTGGTCATGTTCCAGAAGCATTCTCTCCTGACGTTTCACCTGCATCTATGGCAGGCATCCTCAGAGATTGTGAGGGGATTTTGTCAGCGCCGATTGTGTCCAGGCCAAGATCTTGAGGCACTGCGCCTAGTGTGCCGATCCCCACTGGGACCCCCTTGACTGACTTGTGCCAGAGTCTTTGCAGTTCAGTATTTCAATCCTCATATCGTGTCAGCTTTTCCAGTTGTTTCTCTTCAATCCTGCTTTCACCTGGGATTGCAACATTCATGATCCAACTTTGGTTTTTTTGTTTTTGTTATTATTATTATTATTATTATTATTATTATATTTTTATTCTGGAATTATATTATTATTATATTTTATATTATGATTGGTAATGACTATAGGAACGGAACAACGGAAAATGATATTGGATTGTGGTTTGGACGATGAGACGACGCTGAATGGTTTTTGTAGTAATGATGTTGTTTTTGTATAATGCTGGATTGTGAATTGTTTTTATACTGTGTCTTGAATGTTGTTGTTCCTCTGTTGTACACCGCTGTGAGTCGCCCCCAGGCTGAGAACAGCGGTATATAAGTAAGGTAAATAAATAAATAAATATTTTTACTCTAGCACCATTATTATTGTTTTTATCATCATCATCATTATTATGGGAGCATTATTATTACTATTATTTGTTTATTTGGGCACATTATCATTATTCTGTTTATTGGGGCACATAATAATAATAATAATAATAATAATAATAATTATTATTATTATTATTATTATTTGACTGACATAAAAACATAGTATGTCACAGCAAATCAGATATATATGCCGGATTTCATATTATTATTATTATTATTATTATTATTATTATTATATTTTTATTCTGGAATTATATTATTATTATATTTTCACTCTAGCACCATTATTATTGTTTTTATTATTATTATCATAATCATCATTATTATTATGGGGGCATTATTATTACTATTTTGTTTATTTGGGTGCATTATCATTATTCTGTTTATTGGGGGACATTATTATTATTATTATTATTATTATTATTTGACTGACACAAAAACACAGTATGTCACAGCAAATCAGATATATATGCTGGATTTCATATTATTATTATTATATTTTTATTTTGGTATTATTATTATATTTTTATTCTAGCATCATCACCATCATAATCATCACCATTATTATTACTATTATTATTATCGGGCATTATTATTATTTTGTTTATTTGTGGGCATTATCATTCTGTTTATTGGGGGATATTATTATTATTATTATTATTATTATTATTATTATTATTGTGTGTGTGTGTTTGCACCCCACTTTCTCTCTCTGCAAGGAGACCCCTTCCTCTTCCCACCCATTGCCAGGAGAGGAGAGCCTGTGCAAAGAAGGGCAGGGTGGTCTGCTGAGAGGTGAGGGGTGGGCTGCCTTTCCTCCCTCTCTCCCAGCTGCCCCTCCCCTCGACCCCTTTCCTGCAGCCCAAGGGGTGTGTGTGGTTGCGGTTGGCTCTGCTTCTGCTGCTGCTGCATGCGCATCCTGGCAGCAAGCGGGAGAGCCTCCTTGGGAGACCATGCCCAGCAGCAGCAGGGGCCCCCCTGCCTCCCCGTTCTTGGTTGAAGCCCCGTTGGAGCAGGGGAAAGGGGGAAGCCGCCGCCACCGCAGCAGGAGCAGCAGGCAGAGATGGAGCCCAAGCCTTTGTTCTGCATGCAGAAGGCGCTGGTGCAGCCCTTCCAGATGTGCATGCTGGACATTCCCCTCAGCCTCCAGCACAGCCAGGAGGAATACTATGTGAGTAGGATTTGTGGCAAAAGGGGGGGGGATCCCCACACACACAGGCACGCGCACGCTCACCCCTCCGCGCCCCCACCCACCCATTTCACCTGTTCCCACACTCAAGGGTCTCCGCTGTGGCTGTTGCTTTGGCTCACAGGTGCTTCGGCCTTCGAGTATTATTACTATTATTATTACTGTGGGGATGATTATGATCTCAGTGGACACAGCTGCTCTTCTTCTATTACTATTATTATTATTATTATTATTATTATTATTATTATTATTATTTGATGATCTTGGTAGACACAGCTGTTCTTCTACTATTATTATTACTGTTATTATTATTATTACTATGATGATGATGATGATCTCAGTGGACATAGCTGCACTTCTATTATTACTATTATTACTATGATGATGATATGATGATGATGATGATCTCAGTTTACACAGCTGCTCTTCTACTATTATTACTATTACTATTATTATTAGTATGATGGTGATGAGGATGATGGTCTCAGTGGACACAGCTCCTCTTCTACTACTACTACTACTACTATTATTATTACTATGATGATGATGATGATGATGATCTCAGTGGACATAGCTGCTCTTCTATTATTACTATGATGATGATGATATGATGATGATGATGAGGGATATGATGATCTCAGTGGACACAGCTGCTATTCTATTATTATTACTATTACTATCATTATTAGTATGATGGTGATGAGGATGATGGTCTCAGTAGACACAGCTCCTCTTCTACTATTACTACTACTACTACTACTACTATTATTATTATTGCTATGATGATGGTGATGATGATGATCTCAGTGGACATAGCTGGTCTATTATTATTATTATTACTATGATGATGATGATGATGATGATATAATGATGATCTCAGTGGACACAGCTGATCTTCTACTATTATTATTACTGTTACTATTATTACTATGATGGTGATGAGGATGATGATCTCAGTGGACACAGTTGCTCTTCTACTATTATTATTACTATTATTATTACTATGATGGTGATGAGGATGATGATCTCAGTGGACACAGTTGCTCTTCTACTATTATTATTACTACTACTACTACTATTATTATTATTACTATGATGATGATGATCTGGGTGGACACAGCCATTCTTCTACAATCATTATTATTATTATTATTATTATTATTATTATTATTATTATGATCTTGGAGGACACAGCCATATTTGTCATATGCAAGGCTGGGATGGGCTGGGGGAGGGCTAATCAGTTGAAGGTTCGAGGGTTGAATGCAAAGTAATGCCTCCACCTTTGTAACTCCTCAACAGATGGCAGTACTGGTATGCAGCAGGTACTGGCTTGTTCAGTAGACTCTCCTCTACAGTTCCATTTTGGCAGGAAGCCTTAGCATTGAACGGTTGTGTTGTTAAATTGCGAAGTATGGAACCCTGCGCAGGTCAATGCGACTTAAGCAACATGCAGTCATTGAATTATTGACAGCAGAAGGTGTCACCTCAACATCTTTAAACTTTAAACTCGCCCAACGACAAACAGTACTCATGTCAACACAATCCCCATAAACAGCTTGAATCCTCTGATGAATCTCCTTTGGGGGTGACATCTAGGAGTTACAAAGGTGGAGGCATTACTTTTCATTCAACCTCGTAAATCCAAGCAAGACAGAGGTCCTCCTGGTCAGTCGGAAGGTGGATCAAGGTGTTGGATGGGGTCCCACTCCCCCTGAAGACATAGGTCTGCAGCCTGGTCCTGACCCTGGACTCATTGCTGAGCTCATTGCTGAATCAGGAGTGCCTTTGCACAGCTTGTGCACCAGCCCGTCCCTCGATACGCCAGACCTGGCCATGGGAGTCCATGCCTTAGTCACATCCTGCTTGGATTGCTGCAATGCTGTCTATGCCTTTGAAGATAGTTCTGAAACTCCAACTGGTTCAGAGATTGATGGCCAGGCTGCTTGCTTACTTACTTAGGCGATCCCTCGTAGCTCGAGGATGATGGTCTTCCAGATGTGGTGTCTTGGCGGTGGGTCTGTAGGTGGCTGTGGAGCCCGCAGTGAGGACATCGGTTTCCAGACAGAAGGTGGTCCCAGTTGGGGTTGGCTTGACGTGCCTTCCTCTTGGCACATTTTTCCCTTTCGCCCTCCATTCGTGCCTCTTCGAATTCTGCAGCACTGCTGGTCACAGAGCACTCAAGAGCCAGAGCTTCCCAGTTCTCTCTTGGTGTCTATGCCACAGTTTTTGAGGTTGGCTTTGAGCCCATCTTTGAAAATCTTTCCCTGTCCACTAACATTATATTTCCTGTTCTTGAGTTTGGAGTAGAGTAACTCCTTTGGGAGACAGTGATCTTTGGGCATTCGGACAACGTGGCCTTCAGTCCAGCAGAGTTGGTCCAGATCCATCATTGTTTGAGCCCACAGTGCTCTCTGGATGTAGGTGAACTACAACTCCAAAACTCAAGGTCAATGCCCACTGAATCCTCTCAGTATTTTCTCTTGGCCATGGGAATCCTGTGTGCCAAGTTTGGTTCAATTTCATCATTGGTGGGGTTCAGAATGTTCTTTGATTGTAGGTGAACTATAAATCCATCAACTACAACTCCCAAATGTCAAGACCTATTTCCCCCAAACTCCACCAGTGTTCACATTTGGGCATATTGAGCATTCATGCCAAGTTTGGTCCAGATCCATCATTGTTTGAGTCCACAGTGCTCTCTGGATGGAGGTGAACTACAGCTCCAAAACTCAATTCCCACCAAACACTTTCTGTTGGTCATGGGAGTCCTGTGTGCCAAGTTTGGGGTTCAGAATGCTCTTTGATGGTAGGTGAACTATAAATCCCAGAAACTACAATTCCCAAATGGCAAAATCAACCCCCTCTCCAAACCCACCTGTATTCAAATTTGGGCGTATCGGGTATTTGTGCCCAATTTGGTCCAGCAAATGAAAATACATCCTTCAGATCAGGTATTTTCATTATGATTCACAACAGTAGCAGAACGACATTTCTGAAGTCACAACGAAAATAATTTATCTATCTGATTTAGCTATGGCTTGCCATCTGTCAGGAGGGATCGGATGGTGTCTTCCTTGCCTGGATGGCTTCTCTGATATATTATCTATCCTATCTCTCTCAACCACATATACTGTATATACTCGAGTATAAGCCTAGTTTTTCAGCCCCTTTTTTAGGCTGAAAAATCTCCCCTCGGCTTATACTCGAGTCAATGTTATTTACTATTTTACTCTGTTATTAGTATTATTTTTATTGCATTTATTATTTTACTCTATTTATTTTTATTATTACATTTATTATTTTACTCTTTATTGTTATTACAACATTTATTTTTTACTCTATTTATTATTGTTATTATTACATTTATTATTTTACTCTCTTATTACTATTATTACATTTCCATTATTTTACTCTCTTATTATTTTTATTACATTTATCATTTTACTCCCTTTATTATTATTGGAAGGATATGTAAGCACATCTACATTGAAGAAGGTTAGAATAATGGTTTACTCAGAGTTGGACAGTCTTATCTTAAATTACAGTTTTATGTAAATATTCAAAAACATTTAACCTACTGATGCCTCAATTAATGTAATTTTATTGGTATCTATTCTTATTTTGAAATTTACCAGTAGCTGCTGCATTTCCCACCCTCAGCTTATACTCAAGTCAATATGTTTTCCCAGTTTTTTTGTGGTAAAATTAGGTGCCTCGGCTGTGGTTCGGCCACTCCTCAAAAAGGCTTCCCTTGACTCCACGGTGCTGAACAATTACAGACCGATCTCCAACCTCCCTTTTTTGGGTAAGGTGCTGGAGCGGGTGGTCGCCTCCCAGCTCCAGGGCTTTTTAGATGACATCAACTACCTAGATCAGTCACAGTCTGGTTTCAGGCCTGGTCACGGCACCGAGACAGCCTTGGTCGCCTTGGTGGATGACCTCCGTAGAGAGCTGGACAGGGGGAGTGTGACTCTGTTGGTTCTCTTGGACATCTCAGCGGCTTTCGATACCATCGATCATGGTATCCTTCTGGGTTGACTCTCTGGGATGGGTCTCGGGGGCACGGTTTTGTCGTGGCTCCGGTCCTTCCTGGAGGGTTGATCCCAGATGGTGAAGCTGGGAGATGCCTTGCTCGGCCCCCTGGCCTTTGACCTGTGGGGTCCCGCAAGGCTCTATTCTGTCTCCCATGCTTTTTAACATCTACATGAAACCGCTGGGAGAGGTCATCCGGAGTTTTGGAGTAGGTGCCATCTCTACGCAGATGACACACAACTCTACTACTCTTTTCCACCTAATTTCAAGGAGGCCCCTCGAGTGCTGGATGAGTGCTTGGCCGCTGTGGCTATCTGGATGAGGACGCACAAGCTGAAGATCAATCCCGACAAGACAGAGGTCCTCCTGGTCGATCGTAAACCTGATCGGGGTATAGGGTGGCAACCTGTGTTGGACGGGGTTACACTCCCCCTGAAGTCACAGGTCCGCAGTCTGGGAGTCCTCCAGGATTCATCGCTTACGCTTGAGGCTCAGGCATCACCGGTGTCCGGGAGGGCTTTTGCACAATTGAGACTCGTGCGCCAACTGCGACCGTACCTCATGAAGGCTGATCTGGCTGAGGTGGTCCATGCCTTGGTCACCTCTAGATTGGACTACTGTAATGCGCTCTACGTGGGGCTGCCCTTGAAAACGGCTCGGAAATTCCAACTGGTCCAACGGGCAGCGGCCAGGATGTTAACTGGTGCTCCTTACAGAGCAAGGTCAACCCTCCTGTTTAAGGAGCTCCACTGGCTGCCGTTTATTTTCTGAGCCCAGTTTGGGACCATCCTACCTGCGTGACCGCATTTCCGTGTATGAACTCACGCGCTCACTTCGTTCATTCGGAGGGGCCCTGCTCGTGATTCTGCCTGCGTCGCAGGCGCGTCTGGTGGGGACACGAGACAGGGCCTTCTCTGTGGTGGCCCCCTGACTCTGGAACACCCTCC